TTAATAAATTGTATTGGTCTCAAGTTGGACTAATGTAAAAATCCATCAAATTCTATAAGATAATAAGATAATAATATTTTTGAAAATTCTATATAAATATATGGTTTCAGCAAAAACATAAATTAATAATTATATAAATTTTTACAAATATATATATATATAAATATAATATTTTAAAATATGAATAATGTGTTTGTTTTACTTAAAGATTGAAATCTCATTGGATCTTATCTCCAGAGCCGTGCCTTCCCTTATTCAAAAAAGGCATTTATTTTAGGCCACAAACAAAATTTCAAAATTAAGGGCCACATCTTTGTAATAAGTAGTTTAATTAATTAGTAGATTGAATTAACTTTTATATGTGGTTTTACCCATTATAAATATAGATTGTATGATTAAATTTTAGGATTTTAAACAAAATATCATATACTTACATCTATATACTTATATCATTATACTAATACATACATAAAATAGAATAAATGACTAAATTCTTACTTTAAAATAGAGTTTAGTTTATAATGATACATAAAATTATTAAAACAAAAGTTTAAAAAAAAAAAATTTACAAAGATTTAAAATTTGTCTTAGACCTCTATAAGTCTAGGCACGACACTGCTTATCTCTCTAATTATTATATCAGTAGCTCTTATTGGTGTTTTACGATATACATTCAAAATCTAAGATGAGTTTTTGATATGATAATTGATTTTTTACATGTAAATGTTTTTAAATGTATTGTAGTGTTATCTTCAATTTTATTATCAATAATACAGATAGTAGGCATAGTTTTTTTTTAAAATTTTGAACTTATGAGCATGTATATTTTTACATGGACAATTCAATATAGAATTAAAAATTATTTTATAGCGATATTTATGATTTTAATCATTATTTATATCACGAGATTTGTAAAAAATTTAAAATATAACATTATTCCAAATAATATTTTAGAAAATTATAGGCGAAAATTAAATTTTCTCTATAAATGAATAATTATTAATTTATAGATAAATTAATATCACTATAAATTAATAAAATCCCCATATTATTAATTTATAGAGGTTTTATTGTATACTATCTATCCATCTTAAACTGTTAATTTATCATAATTACCATAAAATAGATAATTATAGGTTTCGAGGGGCTCGAGATTTTCGATCAGCCTACCATCATTACATAAACAGCCTTAAAGCTAAATACAAATCTCAATCGGTGTAATCACTAGGAATCACTACAGCTTTAGAATTCTTTATTTTTATTTTTCATAATCAAAGCAAGAAAGGCCCTAATTTTTCTTGGTCCACAGATAAACAATACATATTCAAAAACAAATAAAGCATGGAGTAATCTTAAAGCTTGGTCTGACCAAATTATTCACATGACACAAATATATTTCGTATATATATTGTGTAGTACAAAATATAAAGATAATTTAGTTGACAAAAAATGTATAGAAAAAATTATGTCAGAGATCATCTTTATTGTGTTATTCAATTCGTTCAAGTATAGACTTAATTGGCTATTGTCTGTATGTATACATAAAGCAGAGAGAATAAAATCAAATTTGATTAGGTTAATTGAACGGAGCTGAGCAAAACAGAGTGGACATAATCATGAAACTAGAACTCATCATTACGATTACCATAGGATCAACATGAGAAAAACAGATACCTTAGCCCATAATAATGCGATGAAATGACTCAAAGGACACTAGCAATCAAGGTATGTACATGCATTTATATTCGCTAACTTAATTTCATCTATGATAATAATGACCTCAGCTTTACACGTAATTAACCTAATTAATCAAAAGTATCTTCTGTACCTTTTTGCATCATTAACTACGTACATTCTCTGCAATTACAACCGCAAAAGCTCTACCCCTTCTTCAGTGAGGAGAGAGAGAGAGAGAGGAGGGAGATGGGACTTGTTACAGTCGGAGAATTGAAGCCAACTTTCACAGGAAAGAGAGGGTTTCGTCTGAATTCAAGCATCAGACATGCCTCTGAATGGTAATATATACTCTGTTTCAAAAACCAGTTTTGTAACTAGTATCACCAAAAAAACCATTTTAGTGAAAATGGTTCTTGTTTTGTCTGCATTCACATCTTTGTTTACGCAGATTTGCTGATAAAAACTGTCAGAAAACGAATAAAAGATTTGTTCTTTCTGATGAAAATTTTGCCAAAGTTTCAACCTTTGTATGTGATGAGAATCTGTAGCCACAAGTCATTTATTGTTATAGTCGTCTAACTGTTCATCAGACCCAATAATCTCTCCATTTTGTTTTGTATCTATGTGGAACATATCCGTACAATAACACTTCATCTGGTTCTGTCTTCATATGAAAAAGTTTGATGTAGACATAACCTTTTACATGTCCCTTGTGAATCCACAAATGTCTTCAAAACCAGGAAAAACAATATACAATTTTCGACGATAAATTTACTGTTCCCTTATCCTAGAATCGTAGCGTTTGGAGTCATGGAATACAGAAGCGATTCTTATATGATCATCAAATTCAAGTCCACACACATCTTTTGATTGATAATTAAGAATACTTATTTTTTCGTATTGAAAACTCTCAGAGCCCTAATGGGTTTTTATCTGTTCTCGCAGGCCGATATCCGATGTCTCTAGTGATCTTACAGTTCAAGTTGGATCCTCGAGTTTCTGTCTTCATAAGGTAAAAGCAAACACCAACACCTTATAACAGAATATCCTCCGTTAAAACAATATCAAAACAGAGAATCCTCTGTTCTTGAGTTGTATTGAAGTTTTAAACTCTTACTTGTTGTTTTGATTTTCTCAGTTCCCTCTTGTGTCTCGGAGTGGAAAAATCCGGAAGCTTCTTACGGATTCAAAAACCTCGAATATTTGTCTCTCGAATGTTCCCGGAGGATCTGAGGCTTTTGAGCTCGCAGCTAAGTTCTGCTATGGAATCAACATTGAAATCAACCTTCTTAACGTAGCTAAGATTCGCTGTGCATCTCACTTTCTAGAGATGACAGAGGAGTTTTCAGAGGAGAATCTCGCTATCAAAACAGAACAGTACCTGAAAGAAACAATCCTCCCAAGTATTTCGAATTCCATCATCGTTTTACATCATTGCGAAACTCTAACCCCAGTCTCTGAAGATCTCAACTTGGTGAATTGGTTAGTCATAGCAATCGCCAACAATGCCTGCAAAGAACAGCTTACCTCGGGTCTTTTAAAGCTCGATTATACGTTTTCGGGAGTGAATATAGAACCAGAAACTCCATTAGACTGGTGGGGGAAGTCACTAGCTGTTCTGAATCTTGATTTCTTCCAGAGAGTTGTCTCTGCGGTTAAGTCTAAAGGGCTAAGACAAGACGTGATCAGCAAGATTCTGATAAGTTACACGAATAAGTGGCTTCAGGGGTTAATTGTTCGCGATCCGAAACTGGAGAAAGAAAGGGTTGTTGATCTGGAATGGAAGAAGAAAAATCGATTGATTGTGGAAACGATCGTGAGGTTACTTCCTACACAAGGAAGAAGAAGCTCTGTTCCAATGGCGTTCCTTTCAAGTCTACTCAAAATGGTCATCGCAACATCATCGTCTGCTTCTTCAGGAACCTGCAGATCGGATTTAGAACGAAGGATTGGTCTTCAGTTAGACCAGGCAATCCTCGAAGATGTCTTGATTCCGATAAATCCCAACGGGATCAACAACACGATGTATGACATCGATTCGATCTTGAGAATCTTCTCTATATTCTTGAATCTCGAAGAAGACGAAGAAGAAGAAGATCAACATCATCGTCACCGGTTTGGAGACGAAACAGAGATGATTTACGATTTTGACAGTCCTGGATCTCCAAAACAGAGCTCAATCTTGAAAGTATCGAAGCTAATGGATAACTACCTAGCGGAGATAGCCTTGGATCCGAATCTCACAACCTCAAAGTTCATTGCTTTAGCAGAACTCTTACCAGATCATGCCCGTATCATCAGTGATGGACTATATCGAGCCGTTGACATCTACCTCAAAGTAAAAACTCTTCAATCTTTCTTTCAATTTCAACCCTCTCAAATTCTGAAATTGTCAAAATTCATAGAGTTGTTTCCATTTTGTCAGGTTCATCCGAATATAAAAGATTCAGAGCGTTATCGTCTCTGTAAGACGATAGATTCACAGAAACTATCACAGGAAGCTTGTAGCCACGCAGCTCAAAACGAGAGATTACCTGTGCAAATGGCGGTACAAGTTTTGTACTTTGAGCAGATCAGACTCAGAAACGCGATGAGCTGTAGCATTGGTCCTACTCAGTTTCTGTTCAGCAGTAACTGTCAGCAGTTTCCTCAACGTGGAGGAAGTGGAGCAGGTAAGTTTACTTTACTATTTTTATAAAAAACCTCTCAACATCTGATGTTGTCTCAAACCTTTTTTGTTTTTTGTTTTGCTTGGATTACAAGGAAGTGGAGCAATATCTCCAAGGGATAACTATGCGTCGGTGAGGAGAGAAAACAGAGAGCTAAAGCTTGAGGTTGCGAGGATGAGGATGAGATTAACGGATCTAGAGAAAGATCACATCACGATTAAACAAGAACTCGTTAAGTCTAATCCAGGGACTAAGCTTTTCAAGTCATTTGCTAGAAAGATAAGCAAGCTCAATTCTCTTTTCAGCTTCACTAGTCTTAAACCTTCCTTGAGCGGCAAGGCAAGTTCTGAGAGCCGTTTCTTGTTTCAGAAAAGAAGAAGACACTCAGTTTCTTGATTTAGAAGAAGAATCTTTAAATTTCAATATTTTGATTCACTTTGTATAGTGAAAGAGTTTTTATTTTTGTTGGGAAGTTTGATTTGTGATTGCGTGTGTATGTGTATAGCTTTATATAGTTGTGTTGTGTGAAATGTGAACGATGGTGTTTTGTTCGGTCCTTGCTATCGACTTGTATAAAATTTACATCCTAGTTATAACAAAATTGGACAACAGCACAAGGCATAATTAATAATCATAATAAAATATCAAATCGATACCACTTAATTATAATGTTATCCGGTAAATACATATGACGAAAATATGATCTTATTTCTAAACAATTGCGATTCCATTCAACAACACAAGCGACATTGAATCAAATCGCTTTATTTTTTCTTCTTGTAATTACTATATATATATATATATATATTATATATATTTATATATACTTCAAACGCTCATTACACTCTATACTAAAAGATATAAAAAGTAGTAAAAAAAGATTACGCGTTTTATTACGACGAAGGTGTTAAATCCAAATGGCTCCAGCTCTTCTGAGCAACGAAGCTAGTTGGTTTCTGACTTGAAGAGACATAAGCTGATTAGCACCACCTATGAGCTGTTGCCCTATAAAGACAGCTGGCACGGTTGGTTTGCACCCAAGCTCGACCAATGCTCGTTCGATCTCGGGTCCATTGGACATCTCATCTAGCTCGTATACCGTTGGATTCGCACCGTAGCCAGATATGAGCGACTTGATCGTGTGGCTCATACAGCACGAACTCCTGCTGAATATCACCACTGGCTTGTCTTCTAGCAAATTTGATATCTTCTCCATTGATATTAATTGTCTGAGTGTTTGTGTGTGTATAAGTGTACTAGTGTAAGTAACTTTCGTGTATTGGGGTAAGTAACGGGGAAGATTTGGTTTGAGTCTGGTCCAAGGAAAGTCATTGGTATTTATAGAGGATTTTCGATTCCGGAAATTATCAGGAGCCCCTCTTATTTTTACATGATTTGCTTGTTAACCCCTATACTGTTTTCAATTAATGCTTTTATACTTCTTATATTTATTCATACCTAATCTAACCTAAAAAAGGAAAGGTAAACATTTAAAAAAAAAAATCAAAATTTACTGATATGGTTTGTCTAAGCCTCATTATGATAAAACTCTCTGCGGGATGTAATAATCACATTAAGAAAATTAGGGGTTTATATGAATTGTTTTGATTTTGATGGACTATAAAGCAAACTATATTATTGAAAGGACAGAACGAGAGAAAAAGTTGGAGAACATTGGAGAGCTATCGGGATGAGAGCCACAATCAACAAAGATTCTATCCCGTTTTCGATTTTCAGGAAATTCATATTCATTATTAATTAGGGCAAAGAAAGTATCTCAATAAATTGATAATGAAATTATTATACTAGCAAGACCACGAAACAAAAGTGCCATTGTCGTTTAATCCGTACAAGCTGAAGAAGATATGATGATCATGAGGAAGATGCTACCTCTGTACGTTTGGATTATTCCACCGACAAGAAAAGAGAACCAATCAATATACTCTCCGAACAATCGCAATATATTAATTTGTATCACTTCAATAAACTTCGTGGAATCACGTTTTCAATGCGCTTTTGCTGGATTAATGTTTTTGTGGAGTAATAATTTTTGTTTTCATACATTTGCTTTTGTTTTGAAATATCAAACGAGAGAATGAACAAATGGATTCCGTAATGTATTTTTCTTTTTCTTTTTCATTACACGTGTCTCATTAAGTTTTGCGTAATATTAACTACATTTTCACAATGTCATCGTTAAACCGTGCTATCAATCACAGCTTAGATACTTGTGCATATAACAAAAGGAAAACGATTCGTACTTGTTTCAAGTTGATGTATTTCAATTATTCCATCATTCACATTGATCTCCATATATATGAACTTTGCCCTAAAAACGGTTTGGTTCACAACTTCGTATCTGTAATTCCGTGGACGCGAACTTTAACTCGCCAAATTATACTCGAGAGTTATGAAATAATATCTAAAATTGAGATAATTCTTCTTCTTCTTTTTTTCCTTGGCGAAATAATCAAAAACTAGTAGACTTTAGTTTTAGTTCAGAAACAGCTATGCCAAACAAGGAAACAAAAATAGTCAACCCTAACTGATAGTTAGTGAGATAGACTATCATTGGATGATACAAACTACAAAGAACACGTATATTACCTCCCGAGAACATATTCGATATGAAGAAGAGATTAGATATGGTCCCAACTTGCTTTTCTTTTTCTCTAAGATTTTCTGAACTGTATTACTACTATTTTTATTTATGCCAATACTGAAAAATGTATCAAATAATATCCAAGGAAATTATGCGTATATGCGGAGAAATGAAAAGGCACTGGTAAGCTGTTTAATATTCCAAGAAGGCCTGAACAAGATAGGCCACGTATCTCTCACACATTGAAAGAATTTACACGTTTATTCATCTTTGAATTTGATGCTTTGCATGCATGACAAAATTAACGTTCATTCGTATAAAATTCAAGATCCTTGTGGTATCATAAAGTAATTTGGCTCCAAAGTAATTCGAAGGGTCACTTGTTATGTTTGAGAGGGGTCAGTGGGTCACATATGTAAATGTTGATTTGAGCCAATTATCTCTTTTGGGGGGTAAAAATGAATTTCATAGCTTAATAGAATATATATTTGTAATATAATTTAGCATCGTACCTGAAGGCAAACAAATTTAAGTTCCAAAAAAATATTTGTCTGTGCTAATATAATATTCTTTTCACTAAGGCATATGTTGGTTTTGATAAATTCCGAACACAGATGAAATAAATCGGGATAAACTACGTGTTGAGAGATGCTTATTTCGTTTTGATAGCAGATATTATCCAACAATCACATATATTTTTTTTTAAAACACAATCACAAATATTTACAATAATTATGATATGATGACGAACATCATGCAGATTTCAAATTGCATCAGATGTAATAAATCTGATAAACTACATGTTGAAAAATGCTTGTTCCGTTAGATGATTTCATTCTATGTATATTTTACCATTCAACCACTACACCAGAGCCAGATTACAAACTAAATGCGTTTTAGCAAACGATGTTGACACTTGATGCACATCACATGCGTGAAGTTTTTGATTGCGTTAGATTCTACAAGTTAATTCCTATTTTGCCTTATGTTGTGTCTATGATGGTAAAGTGTCGTCATGTAAGCATTTGATCATATATATATATATATATATATATCCATCTATATTAATTCCTCGTGAGTTACAACGTAATGATAAGACCTAAATAACCAAAAAAAAACCAAAAAATACATGGGTAAATCGATCGGAAAAGTATCAAATAGCTAAAACTGTAATTTTAGAGCCTGTAAATTAGAGGTAATTTCATTATGAATTTTAGAGCCTGACAATCCAACCTAACGGACCATCACAGCATGAAAAACTACTGTAATAAAATACGTTTATAGCCAACACAACCAACTCAAGTTCGACCAACAAAAAAACCAACTCAAGACAGTAAGTAACAGAAGTCTTAAAATTTTACAAAACACATTGGTTTGAAAACCGAGGGGAAATGAAGGGACTCGTGGGCTTCACATGCTGAAGTCCTGACCCATTGGGCCGTTGATAGGTTTTTAACACAGCTAGAAGGATTGGGCAACGGCGTGTTGCATGAGTCACGTGCGAACGTCTTAACACGTGGGCCATTAAGTAAATTATTTTTTTTATACTGCCGTACTCGTCGTCCTTGAGAACAGAGAGAGCACCGCTTCGATCCATCGGCGGAAGAAACCAACCCAAAAAAAAAAAAACCGGACTTTTGATTTGGGACTATTGTGATTTCATATAATCTTGTTTGCTAATTTCTTTTACCTCCTGGTGCTTCTATATCAGTGAATTTCAGTATTTGATTCTGTTCATCCATGGAGGTTTATTCTTTCTCCAACGTACCCAGATTTTGTCACTCATGCTCCTCTGTTTCAGGTTTCTTGTTCGTTTCACAGTTCCCAATTTTTTCGTATCGGTATTTAGATTAAGAGCTTGCTCCCGATATCAATCACCCTTCTTTTTTGAAAGGCTTAATTTGTTTTCTCGATTCTATTACAGAAACGTCTCGATTTAGAGGAGTCAAAGTTCAGTTATGGGGCCAATCTCCTGTTACTGTTCAGTTGAGCAGACGTAAAAGAAGAACCACTCGTAATTTGGTGGGATTTTCTAGTGTAAACGAAATTTTTGATTTAAAATTGACTCTCTTGGGTTTTGCTTATTCTTCCTTACCAACTGGAATTGATCGGTTCTTGCAGATTTCCAGCAGTCAGAAGAGAGATGTCGCTGTCGTTGATGGAAGGTAAAATCCTAAAATATCAGCTGATTTTTCAGTTAAAGGATCAAAGATTCTGAAATAGGCTTAAGAAGGCTTTTTTTTTTTTTTTTCTACTAGGAAATTTTAAGATTAGTTTCTTGTTCTGTATCATCAAGTCTCAAGAAGCGGATGCTCATGAATGATCGTATCTTTTGTTTCCTGTTAACTGCAATAACGTTTTTTTCTCCACTTGTATCCTGATTGGCTTCTACTAAAGTATTGAGAGACTTTTTTTTCTTTTCTTTCTCCTTGGAAGTTGTATGGATGATATATATGACAAGTTAGCGGAACGTATTGTCCCTCTGTCAGCAGCAATGTTCAGCCCTAATGTTAAGTAAGTCTGCTCTTGCCGGAAGAAATGTTGTTCCCACTGTTCTTGAAGATTACTCTTATAAGCTGTGTGTTGACACGTGCAGACGTTTGGTCGGTTTGGCTGGTCCTCCTGGTGCCGGGAAAAGCACATTAGCGAAGGAAGTAGTACGACGTGTAAACAGGCTATGGCCTCAGAAAGCTTCTTCTTTTGATGCTGAAGTTATGCCGCCGGATGTTGCTATAGTGCTTCCCATGGATGGTTTCCATTTGTATCGTTCGCAACTCGATGCAATGGAGGTTGGGAAAGAGTTATCATCTCTCTCTCTCTCTTGCTTTTTTTTTTCTTTCTAATCTGACTTTTTTCTCTCTCTCTAGGATCCCAAAGAAGCTCATGCGAGGAGAGGAGGTGAGATCTGTTTAAGAATTCTCTTTACTGAGATTTCAAAAGGTTCAAAATAAAATTTAACTCTTCTATACATGAAATCAGCTCCTTGGACTTTTGATCCTGCACTATTGCTTAACTGTTTAAAGAAGCTGAGAAACGAGGTAAGGAGATAGTTACAAGATTTTTGTTGACCTTAGAATCTTAGAGTTACATTAGACTCTGATTAGTTTTGCTAGCTGTCCAGGGCTCAGTTTATGTGCCATCATTCGATCATGGAGTAGGGGATCCAGTTGAAGAAGATATCTTTGTTAGCCTCCAGTAAGTAGTCACTAGCTTCCTAAACCGGTCAAGTATTAATCTTCCCTGGAAAATCAGTTACCTTGTGTCGTTTTTTTGCAGGCATAAAGTGGTAATTGTAGAAGGAAACTACGTGCTGTTAGAAGAAGGATCTTGGAAAGACATCTCGGATATGTTTGATGAGAAGTGGTAAAACCAATCAAAAATGTTTTCCCTTTTCTCTATCAATCTTGCTTTTTTTTTTTTTAAGTTCGGTTTCAGCAATTAATGTCTTCCATCTTTATTTCAAGGTTCATCGATGTCAATCTCGATACAGCAATGCAGCGTGTTGAAGCTCGGCATATCTCAACCGGTATGCATTAAATTTTCCTGTTGATCTTAAAAACTCGCAGTGACCATAGAGCATCTGGCTTTTTTTTGTTTTGTTTGTTTTAAATCCGTTTTCCCTTTGCAAATTACAGGTAAACCGCCGGATGTTGCTAAATGGCGGGTAAAAGCTCTGGTTTCTACTATGTTTTATATACAGTTAATAATGCTTTAACGTTTAATAGTTTCTTTTAAGGTAGTTACATTCTTTTTTTTCTTCTTAAATTCTGATTGCAGATTGATTATAACGACCGACCCAACGCAGAGCTCATAATGAAGTCGAAGACGAACGCTGATGTACTGATCAGATCTATCAATTTGTGAATCTGCTTTCTTGGCTATTGCACGAACAGACAAGATGGATATGACTGATGAGTAATAAAATACCCTATCTTGCTCTTGAATTTAGTTTGTCTTTGTGATGTTTTCATTCAAATCTTTACTGAAAAACTGACATTTCATTTCCATTTTTTTCTGTTATGCAAAAAAAAAGGCCAACAAGTATCCTCAGGCTTCCTGTTATAGGCCCAATAGCGAAGATGGGCTCACTAACTCTATCAATTTGATCATTTAAATGATATAATCCAAATCATTGCAAATTCATAAAAACTAAGAAGTAAATTCATAATTTTTTTTTCCTTTTTTACATGATTCAACAAGGTCCCATACCTTTCAATACAAAAACTACTACTGGAACTAGTCTACTACCCCTCAAAAGCCTTTCTTCTTCAAAGTCCCACTAAAGTCTTAAAAAAGAAAAAGAAAAGAGAGAGAGAGAGAGCTAGTTTCATCAAAATGATAAAATATTAGCTAAACAAGTGAGAGCCTTTCCTTCTTTTGACGATTCCCATTTTTTACTTCTTACTGCACAAATCCTACTTTGGTTCCATCTTCAAAGTCTTTTTTTTTTTTACCTTTTATCAGTCACAAAAGTGGTAGTAGTGGGGAAAAAAAGAGCAAAATGCCGAGGACCGTTAAGATCTACGGTGGAGGATTCATCTCTGGTTTGATGATTGAAGAGGATGTGTCTTGTGGCTGAGAATGGTAAATCGCCATCGCCAATGAGATCGGCATTATGCAAAGAGCCTTTGATTGCAAAAGCTGCATCGCTGCTCCAACGTTTTCTTCCATCAACTTAGCCACTTGCAGTTCTGTCCCATCGTTTGACCATTTCTCCCACACGCCTTGCGTCTCATCCTGCACAAATGTTTTAAAACCACAATCAATGAAATAACCCATTACCAAAGTTCTCACCTTTTAATCAAGTGTCTCTCTTTTTGGAAAAAACAAAAAAATAATTGCCAATGTTCTGTTATTGTTCTCCCTAGTCTCTCTCCCTCTTGTCCTACCTCAATCGATGAAGACAATGGCATTTCAGTGACTAGTGGAGCAACAGCACCGGCTCCACCAAGACGGCTCATGCTCAAGACCTGCCATAGTTGATCAGAAAATAAAGCTTATGAGGAAAAAGTTTTATCAAAGCCCATCATTGCATGTTATTCTTCAATTTTCTCATTATCTTTATAACCATAGTCCTAATCTGTAATGATTCTCCATAGGAAGAAAGAAGCAAAAAGTGAAAGAGACTGATGCCAAAAAAAAACACAAAAATCATGTGCTCTTTGATTACTCTCTATTACCAGATTAAACAATTATAATCGTTTATTCAGATAGGAATTTTAGTTGAACAGAGTAGGTGGTGGTGGGGACCAAGGATTTATACCACCAAATCCCTCTGGGGATATTAAATAATCTCTCTCAAAAATTTAAAAGATTAACATAATTTTCAAGATCTTCTTGCCTTATGAATAGATTAGGGAGGTGTCAATAAGAACCAGAGAATAGAAACTGAAGAATGACTGATTGTATACCTTAACTTGGAGCCTGAGAAACTTTACATAATCGACAATCTCATCAATCATAGCAGCCCTATCTGTCTGCAAAGGAAAAAAAAAACATAAGTCTTTCTTATTCACAATTCCAAAGTTTGTTAATACTGCAGTTTCTATATGCGAATTCTCTGACTTGATTGAGCTCTCTCTGTGACACGAGGATCGAACCTAGAAAAATTAAAACAGCTGAAGCACCAGACAAAAAAAAAAATACCAACCTTGCTGACAGTAGGTACGAGTTCCTGTAACGCCCTGATCCGTTCGGCTATTCTTTCCCTACGCAGCTATTGCAATGCAAATAGATATTCATGTTAGGTCTCAGTAGACAAAGAAACAAAAACCCAAATCTACTCAACTGAAAGCTATAGTTAAGGATTTGATCAAAGATTAGACAAGAACATCGTCACATCAAAACAGATAAGAAGATAATGAACACTTTACCCGCTCAGCAATGCTATGTGGATCGGTGGCCTGACCTCGCCTAGCCCTAACTCTAGGTCGGATTGAAGATTGTTGATGCGGCATTGGTGGAGCTGGCTGTGACATTGGCTGCCCATGGAAAACCTTTCAACAAAACCACAAAAAAAAAAAACAGAAAAAAACAATAAAGCTTAATATCAACTCAACTTTGACGGAATTATCCACATGAGAAAAAAAATTTAAAGAGCTCAATCTCCGACCATCCGAGTGCTTGTAAAGTTATATAGTGTTATGAATTAAGAAACATCAAAAATCTTCAAGTTGGGTTTCTTCAAGATCAGTCAACCTAAGCCAAAAAACTCGCTGTTACTGTCAGATTTAGGCCTCATAGCTTGGCAAAATCTAGCTTTTCATAATTGGTTTTTTACTTCAAAAACGTTAACTTTTTGAAACCCTAAAGATTTAATTTTCTCGAAATCCACAAACACAAAACAAAAAACTGAAGATTTCAATAAACTCACAGGTTTCATGGAGGAACATCGATTATCAACAACATCATCTTGGAAACGTTTCCCACTTCCATGAACACCTTCTGGTTTAAGAAAGCCATGTCCTTTGCCTTGATCCAGGCTTAAGCCCAACGGAAACATCTGGTTATGAAACCCTAAAGGTCCACCTGCTCCAATGGCGCCCATGTGATTATGATTCCCCTCGTCGCCGGAACCGAGCTGAAGCATCATCGGCGGTGGACCGACGCCGCTTAACCCTCCGGCTAGTCCAGAAAGTCCAGAACCGGAAGATGCAGAGAAGTTAGAAATCCCGAGGATCTGCTCGAAGAAATCGTCGGAAGGAGATTGATCGGAGAGGTTATCATGTGGGTTGTTGTTATTAGCCATGGAAACGAGTTAGGTTAAAAAAACTATGACTCAGTCGAGTTGGGTGAGTTGAGGATAGCGAGTTAGACACCTTGAAGAACAATCTCCATGCGAATCTACTCAAACAGAAACAATTTTTTTTTTTCTTGTGTGTGGAGTTGTTTGGTGAATGATGATGCTTAAGCTAATGACGACGAATAGACAGAGACGAGAAAGGAAATGACAAAAAGAGTGACTTTATGCTCTGTTTTATTTGTTTTTTATTTTTCCTTTCTTTATTGGTTATTCTCGTTTTTGCCCTTGCTCTTTTATACCTTCCAGAAACTTGAAGTGGGCTTTTTTTTCTCAAATGGGCTTTTAGTTTTGACTTTATCTAATCTATTCGCATGAAAATGACCAAACTCTTTTTAGTAGAATGTTAAAAATTAATATAATCAGATTTTATTGTATTAAAATGGTAATGGGGTATTCTCAGGGTCGTCATCATTTCTATAGTGCTAGGCTGCTAGCACTTCTAATATCCAATACGAACTTTGTAAGTTTGCAAGATGGTATTACTTCCACTTGCTGCTTCCTGCATCTCCAAGTAAATTAAGTTATCATATGTGATGTGTGGATGATGTAGGCATATATGATATACCATGCATATTGAAGAAAGAAATATCCAGTACGTATATATTATGCATCAAACATTCATAGAATGAAAGTTAACATTTATTCATTATTTTCTTTCTTTAAGTTTGCTTTCAATATCTGTTTGAAACAGGAAACAAGTTTAGAGTTTCTTTGTCTTTTTTTTCTTTCTCTTAAATGTGGCCATAGTTAATCTGAATTTCTATTAATGTAACTTTTCCCCTTTTTTTTTGTTTGGTCAAGACATTTCCCCTTTTACAATGAAACAAATCATGAGTCAAAAACAAATGTCAGGAAAGATGGGCTGGATTCAAACTAGACCAATTTAAATTCTAATTATAAATGATAACCAAAGATAATGTCGAAAGACATTTTTGTATTAGGGCTAAAAAACCAAGGTCACAGATCAACGAGGATGACTCGTTAATCAATCTCTCCTCCTTACCATTAATGGTAAATACAAACTAAAATTTCAATTTGCCAGTAAAAAGCCACGTGGCGTTATTTGTCACCGGCCAAAATCTCCAACAACCTCGGCGACTTGCATGGTAAGAAAATCAACGAAAACCAAAGACATTACGTTGACGAAACAATCAAAACACAGAAGCAGACAACAAACAAACCAAAAAAAAATAAAAAAAAAAGAAACAGGGGAGAAAAAAAGGAGGCGACGAGGAACACAAAAACAAAATAAAACAACCCTCGTTCTTCCCTTTTCTCTCTTCAAATCTCTGTCTATATTTTTTTTTCCCTTTCTTTCTTAAATATATTTTAATAAATCACAAAATAAAATGGGTTCGAGTAAGCTTAAACGAGCCATAGGAGCCGTCAAGGACCAAACGAGCGTTGGTCTAGCCAAAGTCAACGGTCGAAGCGCATCTTTATCAGAACTTGACGTAGCCATCGTCAAAGCGACTCGTCACGAAGAGTATCCAGCGGAAGAGAAATACATAAGAGAGATTCTTAGCCTAACTTCTTACTCACGCAGTTACATCAACGCTTGCGTCAATACGCTTTCGAGACGGCTTAACAAAACCAAATGCTGGACCGTTGCTCTCAAGACCTTGATTCTGATCCAACGGCTCTTAGGAGAAGGAGATCAAGCCTATGAGCAAGAGATCTTCTTCGCCACTCGACGTGGGACCAGGCTTCTCAATATGTCTGATTTCAGGGATGTTTCCAGGTCCAACTCCTGGGATTACTCTGCTTTCGTCAGGACTTACGCGTTGTACCTTGACGAAAGGCTTGATTTCAGGTAACACTGTGGTTTCATTTAGGGTTTCCATTTCGTTTTCAGACAATTAGCTTCTGTTATGGTCTTTTAGATATCTAAAGATTAAAAACCTAGTTTAACCAAATGAAGATTCGTTTCGAATTTACAGGATGCAAGCGAGACATGGGAAACGCGGAGTTTACTGCGTTGGAGGAGAAACAGAGGAAGATGAGCAAGATAACCCCGCGGCTGATCTCTCCACGGCTATAGTGGTCAGGTCACAACCGATCGCAGAGATGAAAACAGAGCAGATTTTCACCAGAGTTCAACATTTGCAGCAACTTCTTGACCGTTTCTTGGCTTGTCGTCCAACAGGTATTAGATATATTACTTGCACTCCACGTTTCCTCGGTCTCTGTTTTGTTTATTGGATCACAAGTTACGTTTGAAAAAAAAACAACTTTTAACAGGCACCGCGAGGAACAACAGAGTTGTAATCGTGGCTCTGTATCCGATAGTGAAGGAGAGTTTTCAGATATATTATGATGTAACAGAGATAATGGGGATTTTGATCGATCGATTCATGGAGTTGGACATTCCTGATTCGATCAAGGTCTATGACATTTTCTGTCGTGTCTCGAAACAGTTTGAAGAGCTCGATCAGTTCTATTCCTGGTGTAAGAACATGGGGATCGCTCGGTCTTCTGAGTATCCAGAGATAGAGAAGATTACACAGAAGAAGCTTGATCTCATGGATGAGTTTATAAGAGACAAATCCGCTTTAGAACAGACCAAGAAATCAAAATCTGTTAAATCCGATGAAGAGGATGATGATGCGAGAACAGAGGAAGTAAATGAGGAGCAAGAAGATATGAATGCGATCAAGGCCTTACCCGAACCTCCACCAAAAGAAGAAGAAGACGCAAAACCCGAGGAAGAAGCAAAGGAAGAAGTGACGGTCGAGAAGAAGCAAGAAGAAGTTGGTGATTTGCTGAATCTTGTGGATATAAACGGCGTTGAAGCTACAGAAACTGGAGATAGCTTAGCATTGGCTTTATTCGACGGCCCATACGCGAGCGGTTCGGGCTCAGAGTCCGGTCCTGGATGGGAAGCGTTTAAGGATGATTCAGCAGATTGGGAAACAGCTTTGGTGCAATCAGCTACAAACTTGTCTGGACAAAAAACGGAACTTGGAGGAGGCTTTGATATGCTTTTGCTTAACGGAATGTATCAACACGGCGCTGTGAGTGCCGCCGTGAAAAACTCGACGGCTTATGGAGCCAGCGGAAGCGCTAGCAGTATGGCATTTGGTTCTGCAGGAAGACCAGCAGGTTTTGACTCTGCTCTGTTTTTCAGTTTTGCTCTGTTTTTTAGCTTCTTATACCTCTGCTCTGTTTTCGTTTGCATTCTAATGATTTGTCATGAATTTTAAATTACAGCAACGATGCTGGCACTTCCTGCACCAGCAACGGCTAATGGAAACAGCAACGGCCCGGTTCCGATGGATCCATTTGCAGCGTCGTTGGTGGTTGCGCCGCCACCGTATGTGCAGATGAATGATATGGAGAAGAAACAGAGAATGTTGATGGAAGAACAGATGATGTGGCACCAATACTCAAGAGAAGGAAGACAAGGACACATGAATTTAAGGCAAAGCCAAAACCAACCTAATTACTCGTACACCCAATGAAGGAACACTTCTTGAGTTGTGTCAGCATTTTTTTTTTGTACCGATCATTTTGTTCTTATAGATCTACAAATGGTTTTATCCTTTTTGCAAATTTAAACATTTTTTTTTTCTGTTCTTGGGTCAAATTCATTGGGGGCACATGTGAGGTTTGCTTCTGTAATTGTAATCTCTGATTTAACTTTATAAGATAAACTTAAATACTGTATGTTTTGATGTCACAACCATAGCTAATATCCTTTGTATAAGACCTAGTGCTTCACACCATAGCTTCTGTTTGATTTGCCTGCAAAAGTAGAGAACTTCGATTGATAAAGAAACTCAGATTTCTTGCATAGGAAGTTATCTTGTTGGCAGAAAGGCTGTCATTCTTACAGAACTGAAAGCATGGTTGTTTCATTACAGGATCATCTTTGATCTCTGGAGGGTCCTGACCAAACATCATCTTACAGCTAAGATCATCAAAATCTGCAAAAAAAAAAAAAAAAAAACTCAAAACAAATGTTAATTAGTGTTGTCACATTGAAAACTTAAAGAATGATTGTTCAAATCATTGACTTCTTAAAAAGAATAATCACTCATCATTACACATCTTGGAGACCCAATGGGTCTACTTGTAGTTAATTGTGTCCTTAGTGGTGAATCAATGGGACCCTTAAAGATAATATCAAGCTTCCGCAAGTTGAGAAGCACAGTCTACTATTTTCACCATATATTGAGTTTGATTTCAACTGTTTAATTTATTGCCCGAATGTTCCTGTTTGAGTGATTGCAATTATAAAGTAAAGAGAATGAGATTCTGCGTAGTACCGGGCATCATGTAGATTGGCATTCCAAGTGAGTTTTTGATGAAAATTTGGGATGGGATTTTACAAAGGTGAGTGCACATACCAACACAATTTGTCTGCTCAAGAAACCTGAAATTAGTGTTAAAGAAATGATTAAGTGACAGATCTCAACAGTGAAATTAGTGTTGTTACTGGTGGTATGCTGTAATGTAATGATTGTTTATGGAAGAATGATTTTCAGTTTTGTCTGAAGTTTAGTGATCATATGGGACCAAATAGAGAGATTACACTTAACCTGCACTTCTCTATGAACACAACACTCTTCTCTTTTCTTCCATTAACCTCAGTCTCCCTCACCTTGGCAATTAAAAGCCGCAAAATTTTCTGTTAATTTAAACTCAAAAACAACAGCAAAAATTTAGGATCATAGAAAAAGTCTATTTCTTACTTCCGAAGGTCCGACAAGCCAAGCGAAAAAAATTGTGGTGAATAGCGCGAAGAGCTCTCGTGATAGTTTTGAAGGTGGTAAAAGCATTTTGATCTGTTATTTAGCAAGAAAATGTTCGTGTCACATTCTCAAAGTTTCATGCTAGATGATATGATGAATCCATAAGAACTTACCAAGGAGAGTATCACTGTAGGAAATGCTCTGTCCAAAGCGATAAGAACAAGCTCATGCTGTTGCTTGGTATCTAAGTTTCTCGCAACCTTAGTTGCCGTATCCACTAAGCTATCATAACCAGTACTTTTGCTGCTATTACTACTCATCCCTGATGAAAACATTTCACGGTTTTTTCCCTCAATACATTAATTAAATGAGTAAGCATTCATAAAATAGATGTGAGCTACGAACCTGCTGTGTCTTGAAGAGTCTTTGATAGATAATTAATTGCAATTTTCGACAAGAAATTGTCTTCATCACTCGCAGTCTTCTTGTTGGATGGCTCGATTCTTGTTGTTTCTTTCGCAGCCTTGAGTTCTCCGGAGTAGACTGGCTTGGAGCTGAGAGTTGCGGAAATGCTTGAGCGTCCATAGCGAGTGCTTGTATCGTTGAACCGAGTTGTGAAACTGAAGATCTTGGTCTGAGAAAGTGATGGTTTAGTGTTCATATTTTGGTCTTTTGGAAGAAGAAGAAGAAGAACATAACAGAAACTTGTTGCAGGTTTTAGTTTTCTTTTTCTGAGGCCATTAATCCACGTTTCCGGAGTATATATATAGATAGAAAACGTAAATGACAGATTTGCCCTCTGGCTTGTGGTGCTTGAGGAGGCATGAGGATAGAAGAAAGATCTCCCACGCGCTTGTCGTTTCCTCAACAAGATTTATTTACTAACAAAAAACCCTTTTTTGTGTGGACTATAATAGTCCAGACACTCGCGGGATGTGCATCTGGGGTAACATCATCATCGGCCCAAATTAGAATGGGCTACAATGAAAAAACATTTCATAATGGGCCTCAACACTTTATAATAAGGCCAGACTATAATGGAATATTAAAAGATTTTTTTTTAAACAAACCATTTATCATGATTCGTTTTCCAGATTAATTTATCATGTCATAACTAAGGACAGATAAGGAATTAATTTTAATAGTAAATGTAACCCACAAAAATATGATCATTAAAAAAAAAAAAGGATGCTTTTTGAAAGAACTTTTACTTAAAGGGTATTGGTAATTAATTCCTTAATTCTTTTTTTTTGTAAAATATTCGTCTCTCTCTCTATATATATTTATATAGATATAATCAATAACAAAAAACAGTTACCCATTGACATTGAAGCAAAATATGAAGAATACAAAAAGGTCACAAACTATTAAAACAATACAAGAATTGCATCTCAGAAAATACAGATGGGGCTGTAAAAATACTATTATGCCCAGCTTCTGCTATTTGCAATGAGTTTTCAAGAAGAAGAAATAATTTAAGGTGACAAAACAGCCGCAAAAATACCATACTGTACACAGTACACACACTCCCCTGTAAAGCTTTAATCTTCCCATCTATTTACACAAATTCTCAAACCAAACCTCTTCTCCTTCTTCTCGATCCTGAAAACTCACCAGCAATCAGAAGCGAGAATGGCTCGCCTCGCTCTCTTTCTCCTAACCTGCAAGCCAGTGATGTAAGAGAATCAACAAAGCCAACAGTTTGTTTAGACTTTGCTCTGCTTCCTACTATGTGGTCCTGTTTTTATGTCCCCTCGCCAGCTCTTTCGGTTCTAGCCAAAGAAACCAAAAGGAAACTGTCTGGTCTCCGCTTTAGATACTAAACCTATGAAGCCTGTTTCAGTGAAGCTTGTTTCAGTGAAGCTTGTTTCAGTGAAGCCCTTAATGTTTCATCTGGTAATGTCCATGAAAGCAACTGTCCAGCTGAGTCGCCGCTCAGTAACTGCTTCAGGTCGCTCGTGAGATAGAGAGCGGTGACCGGTTGCTTATGGAATTTCAACACCTTGTGTAGAATCAACTTGTATTCTGGCACTTGATCACCCAAATTCAGCCCTCCTGTTCTGTTGGTACTACTTGTTTTGCTCTCGGCACTCACCGGATCAGTACAATGTATCATCCGCCATATTTTAACTGCTCCACTCTGATGACCAGTTACATACCAGGCTGTTTCAAGCCAGTCAGAAGATGTCGAACCTGTTACAGATAAAACTGAATCAGAGGGTAACTGCGATGTGTTAGCCACAGCAAGACAATCGCCATTGATGCTCCAAACCGCAAGGACAGTTCCAGCAGCAGTTACAATTTCCCCGGTAAGGTCATTTACGTAGATTGCTGAAATAGGAACTGGGAATTCAGGCAGCTGCCTCACAAAACTCAACGAACTGAGATCCCATATTATAACTGTGCAGTCATCTGAGCCACTTGCAATCATCATGTACGGTTGGCTTACACGTAGACATGTGACTTTAGCAGTGTGAGCACATAGGGCTTTCTCTAACCGTAAACGCCGTGAACCACGGGGACCATCCTTACTTACTCTCCACACGCACACTAGACCATCTTCTGCTCCAGTGACCACAATGCGTCCATCGTGACTAACACCAGCGCACTGGATCTGGTTACTTTCATGGAGATTCTCATGAGTTGATAGCAGTTTGTCCTGATCATAGCTCATAAATCTTAGACTCCTGTCTGGGAAACCCCATGTAATGTATTTGGTATAGCCTCTGGGTTTCAGGAAGCAGTTAGCCCCGGCAACGAGCACCTTGTCGTGGAAAGTAATGATCTGGCTTATAGAAGATGAACATTTACGTGTTTCGTGAGGAACTAGATGCATCGAATGTTTCAGAGGGTGGAGAGGAATTTTTCGGTCTGTTCTTCTTTTGACATGTGCTTTCTGGAATAGTTGCTTTGGAGTTTGACCAAAATGATTAATCTGAGCTAGTATCGAAGCTTTCATTGCAGGATCGGTAACTGCATCAATATCAACATTTCCCTCGTACGTGTAATGATAGAAAACATTTACAGCTTCTTCTGCAGCCTGAGAATAAACATTCCAATAAAGGAAAAGTAAATAATATGGCAATACTTTCTGCGTTCTACTTGGCTAGAAGCATACGGAAAATATTGTGTAATGTACCTTTCCTCTCTGTTTGTACCCAAAGATGAGATCTATCCAATGATGCAGATTCTCTGAGACATAATCTGACTCCAACGCTTCTCTGTGCTTGAGGATGAACTCACGAACACTACCTCTAGCCCATGGGGGTAAAAAGACATCACCAACCTGAAATTATGCAGGATAACTAATTTATATCAACCCTGCATAAGTGGAAAATGGTACATTCAAGCACCACTGAAAGAACTTGAATTGGCACAAACCTTCTCTCCAGACTGTTTTTCACCCAAATCAAGGCGGAATCTATTTTCCAAAAATTCGGGCATGTAAAAGAATTCAGGAATGAGTTCTTTTACGTCTGAAGTATTGCCCTTTCCAGCTGCACTAAGCCAAGTATCTTTTATACTGTTGAACAGCCTATCAGCATGATCAAACTGACCGCCCTGCAGCTTCTGATTTTCAGCACTGAATGGTGGGAGGCGGATAAGGTAAAACAGAACAATTCCAGCACTTGAATAGTGAGAACCATAATGAAATTTTGGGACCTCAGGATCATCCCAGCTCTCATATCTGAAATTGAGGAGGTGACAGCGAAAGCATGATAAGCAAAGATTGGATACAATATGCTATCATCAAACAAGAATTTTTTTATGTATGATGAAGTACACAATGTGGTATTAAAAGTCTAAGATGCACATCACAAACCGTTTTCTAAATTCTTCTTCTCCTTCAGGTGTCTGGCAACCCATTGGTTTGTGAAGCTTGCGGAATGTTTTTGGATCTGACAAATCAAGACTCTCACTATCATAATCTGCAAGAACCCATGGAAATACCGGATACTGCGTGAGATCACTGTATCCACGTCCTGCTAGGGTATTGAGATGCATTAGGTAATGGAAATTGCTAATTTCCCCATTTTGCCATCTTTTCGAGAAAGACTTCGCCATTAATTTGAAAAGGCGGCTTCCCTCATTACTTTCTTGTTTTGCTGATCCTGAAATGGTTGTGTCGAGCCTGGGAAAAAATAAACAGAATAAATAACACTTTCGCAGATCAATGAAGACAGAATCTGATTTATGATAACTAACTACCAACATGAGTACTACGGTGAAGGGAAAAAAATGAAGAAACTGAAACCCATCCAAGAATGCTTAGCAAACAAACTAATAAAGTATAGAAGCCTTAAACATTAGTCTTTCAGAACTAAGCCTTACAAAGAAGACCCATCCTATGCTAACTCATGAGCATAGATTGACAGATTTCTTCATTTTATTAGAGAACAATGAACTGCTATAAAATGTAATAGAGAAACAAATGCATTAAGCTCAATCCAGTTGCAGAGGAACAAAAAGAAACAAGATGATAAGAATGATGATACCGTACATGCTGTTCCTTGGAAGATTCATGGCAACCAGATTTTTGAAAACTTCTTCCCTCTCTTTCTTGTGGAACACGAGGAGATCATTACATCCATCCATACTAAATATCTCAATAGCAACTGGACGCAGCTGGTAATCACGTTTTAGAATTTCATGAACATTATTAAGCTTCCACATCCGCCAAGGATGCGGCAAGTTACCAGTCATGCACATTTTTTCTTTTCCCCAAGCACCACCACCATATGCCCATGCTCTTCCCCCTACAGCTCCCGTTTTCACTGCTGTTGTCCATGATGTGCTAGACTTGGAATGGAAATCCAGGCTTCCAGAAACATCTTTTTTCACACCCAACGCTTGATCAATAACCGATAACTCATCTTCGCATTCCTTCTCACAAATACACCCATCATCGTCAATGTAAAAATTTTCTATCACATAAAGGCAAAATTCCCCTATTAAGAAAATTCCATCATGCTTGTCGAGATCAACGACTCTCTCACAGTTGTATCTGAACCTAATCTTTTCAAGATGCTCCAGATAAGGTCTGATCAAATACTCACCATCATCATTCAGTTCCTTCTCTGATTTTTCCTCCGGGCCTTTAGTTTCATCCATTTTAGCAGAAGATGAATGTCTTGGAGAGCCAGTCTCAGATTTTGCTTGTGTGTTGTCTGTTATTGGCACAGATGCTGTACTAGATTTTCCACCAAAGTCAAGAGCAGAATGTAGACTTGCTTCGTTCGTACTACTTGCTCTATCATCATTCCATCCATTTCTGGCAGAAGCGACATCTTTAAAATCATCTGACTCCTTCAAAAACGACTCATCATAAAGTTCACTGAGCAAGAAAGCTGGTTCGGAATCTGTGTCAGAAATAACTGGTCCATCTTCATTTTTGGCCTTGGGAAGCTCAATTTCTCCAAGTTCCAACTTTCCATCAAGAACATTCTGGATGCTATCAATTTTTAGCTTACATCGTTCAAGCTTTTTGCGCATTCTGTACGGACCTTCAATCGGACAGAGCTGCCATTCAGGGTCTTCAGACCCTTTGGATTTACGCATTGGGAATATTCCACGCTCATGCACAAGCTGCTGGAGATGAGTTTGCCACTCACTCTCAGCATGAAGTATCCAACCATATTTGTTTTGCCGAACAACTCTAAGCTCAGTAGACATGGCGTCACGCAATACTTCTAGCGCATATCTCCGTTCATTCAACTGATCCCAGTGTTTTAG